TTTCATGACCCCGACTTGATGTTTCAGGACCCCACTTTGGGTCCTGACCACAACTTTGGGAACCACTGTCTTATGGGACAATCAAGACAAGAATCACATCCAGAAATAAAATCATCAACATATCAGTAACAGAAAAGAGAAAAATTTCCTTCTTTAAAACAATCACAGAGCTCAGCTCTTATATAGACTGCATTATGTTCTCAGTAAAGTCTGTTTCTATCTTAACTCTTCATTTATTTTGACTTCAGGCACATTTTTAAGACAAAAAATATGTATTGTGTAATTTTCTAACTGTTATTATTTCAAACAAACTGCAGACATGTGTTAATATTTGGAAAATATGTACTTTTACTCTTTTTACACTTTTTCTATACTGTAGAAAACCATCTATCACTCTTATTCTACATTACTGCATTACTGCACCTTATTCATAATCATCTACCTCTACAATGCTGCTGTCGTATTATTACTTAATATTAACTTTGAAAACTGTTGTCACATAGTTTTTTGTTAAGTGAAGTATAACGTGAATCTTTCTGTATATTGTGTAATGTGTGTGAATTATATAAGTGTCTGTACAGTGTTGATACTAGAGAGACACGAACTGCCGGAAACAAATTCCTTGCTTGTGTCAACATACATGGCCAATAAACCTGATTCTGATTCTAATTCTTTTTGAGTTGTATAAGAGAAAAAACTGTTTCTTTCAGTCATTTTGTAACCAACATTAAAACCTATAAATGAGGTGAACAAAAGTTATGTTAACCATCCCCACGTATCACTTCATGAACATTAAGACTTATTTACTCAATCACTTTAATCAAGGGAGTGGTGGGGCAGAGGTTAGAGAAGGTGACCCTGTGATCAATAGGACATCATTTCAAATCCCCTGGCTGTCGAATCAGACATGTAGGTGGGAAAAGTAAAGTTTTCATTTGCACCACTGAGAAGTGGTTTTGTCAGGAAGGGCWTCTGGTGTAAAAACAGTTGCCAAATCTCCGCAAATTAATAAGCTGTGACAACACCTGAAGCAAGCAACCAAAAGGAAAAWAAAAGAAAAATCAATACTTCAATGCTGTTTTTATTAACATCAAAGTCAGGGATGTCTGTACATAAAAATAAAAAGCACACTTCCACATGCAGAACTTTTACTGAACTTTAAAAAGGCCTCATATCCTCTTGTTCTAGTAAATTAAGTAATGTTGTGCATGTGAATAAAGCTGCATGTTCACATTTATTTTTTTCCCTCTTCACTCAGTGTAAAGCACTGATTTTTAACCTCGTGATTTAAACCCACTCGTGTTCACATCTGACAGCTGCTGTTACTGAGAATGCAGGAGGTGAAGGTTTGTGAGACGATGAAGCAGAAACAAAGAGAGAGGTGAACAGAAAGCTGGCTTCCTCAAAMAGAGCGACACGTCTCCTGACTGAAGTCAGTCCACTGAAACGTCCAGCCCACCTCCCTCTCTCCAAATGCCTGTTTTTGATGCCTTGTGGCAGCGTGGCGGTGGAGTCACGGAGGGCTGTGCGTGGGCGCTCAGCCAATTTACTGCACTCGGCCCGTTTCCGCTGCAGCCACAAACAACAAAGTCACCGTGACTAACAACTCTGGAAAAGTGGCTAATGGCTGAGCTGATTAGATGTTAGATTCCCTCATGGATAAAACATGATGTGTGGTATTTATAGGGTGTGTGTGCACGTTTCCTGCCCATTAAATTAACAAGAAAACTTTGCAAAGACTTGGAGAAAACTTTCTCAAAGAAACCACATGCTGGCAGAAAGTGCACAAAATCAGTGGGTAAAAACAGCCAAAAACAACAAACAAGATGTAATCCTAAAATACAAAAACACACAAAGTGTGCAAGCACACACTGACCACAGTCAGCTAAAAATATCAAGATTTTTTTAAGCTCCTTTCATGCTGAATAAAATCTAAGATCTGATTTTACTCTGAGTGTTTCCATCTTGCAGTGAAACAAACTTCATAATCTTTGTTGTTTTTTTCGTTGTTGCATAATGAACTATGTTGCAAACAGTATTTCTGTATGACAACAATAAAATAAGGGTTTACTTTTATTAAATAGTTGTAAAAATTCTGATTGATTTTTTGTGCAATGTCATCTAMTGTTTTATTAGTTGTTGTTGTTTTTGTTTTTGTTTTTTCATTTTTATGAATATTCTCAGTTTCATCATTTGTGTGTTTTGTACAATTTCACATCCTGTACCAATCAAATCAAACTGATTTCCATCTTTGTGCATCTTGTAGAAGTTACTGTTTCAGACACATCGACTTCTTTTATCCTGATCATATTATGTTGTATTTTGCACAGATCATGTAACAAACATTTTTAAAGATGTCAGTAAAACACAGCAGCTTCTGAAGAAAAACATATAATATAATGTTTTTTTCTTTTAAAGAACTGTTTAACATTCTTAGAAAGTTTAGAAACAAAGAAAAAAACTTTTCCCCTAAATCTCTAAGTTTTTTTTTTTTCAAAATTAAAGTGATGCTAAAAAAATTGTTACAAAGGTTGCTAATACACAAATTCTGTTTGTTTAAAAGACAGTAATGTGACTGTTTGTGACGAAACAAACCTGCTGTGGTTTGATATTCATGCCATGAGTATAAAATTAATATCAGCTTCCACAGATTTGTTTAAAAACTCCTGAAAAAAAACTGTTTGACATCTAGAATGTGTTATAAGTCGCCATAACCTTCAGATTTTAGAAAACAGAATGAGGTGAAAATWTGAACTTTTTACCTTCCTGACCCCCCTCATGTTTTTCCTGTCAGTGGCCCTGAAAAGACAAACATCCTGGTTCTATGCAGGGACGGAACTAGGCCTTTTTTTGCAGAGGGTGGCAAAGGGGTGGCCAAGATGTGTATTTATTTCTTTTTTGGGGGGTTGGTGGGGGTACATACAAATAAAGTAAAGTGATCATGGCTAAGAATTAGCCCCCCAAAAAATAATAAATAAAAAACAGCCTTTTTTAGACATTCAAAGCTGAAAATTAGTGGAGAAAATAGCCCAAAACCATCTTTAACAATTTCTAAATGCTAATCAAAATTTGARATAGCCACCAAAGCTAACTTTAAAAGGCTGTAATTCAACCATTTTAAGACTTGTTGAGGTGAAAATCATCGTGGAGTACCTGAGAATGATCACATGCTGACTGCTGAAACTAATCTCAAATTAAGGTATTTTCTAATGTTTATGCTAAGTTTACAAAGGGCCATAATTCAGCCATTTTTAAGCACAGCTCAAACTTTATATAGTTCAGYAGTATCAGAGAACAATCTACCAAAATCTAAATGCATGTACAAAATYCAAGATTTCCACCCACTTGTCAATCATTYGGGGGTGCCCCACCCCTTCAGGCTCCGCCCCTAACTCTATGGGAGGTCTTTTATGATTAGTTCGAACTTTATGATGTTTTAACTGCATGATTTAGTTAAATAAATGTTAATAGTCTGTTTACAGAAAAGTTTGCCAAAGGTCCTCAGACATTTTTAGTTTATTTGTTGCCAGCCTTTCTACCAGGGATCTAATGGCAGATCTACACACCAAATAAATAAAAGTTACTTTCATTGTACCTTCTTCAGTTTGTTTTTGCACGGACTGAGCTGCCTGGTGTAGGTGGTGGCGATGGTGTCAGGCGTCCACACCATCTGCTCACAGGGGAGCTCCAGCTCCCCCAGAGCAGCCTCCCTCAGCCCGGAGAAGTCCCTGCTGTAGACAGCCAGTCTCAGGGTACAGGTGTGCAGCASCTCCACAGAGCCCACCTGCAGCACAAAGCTCTGACTCTGGAGGTCTGGACTGAGGCTGCGCCGCCTCGGAGGTCTCTGCTGCGGGGAGGGGTGAAGGGGTGGGAGGCTGGCCCGAACAAACACCCCACCGCGTCTCCGCCCATCTCCGGAGAGCCCCAGGATGTTGACCGCCAGGGTGCCAGAGGCAGAGCTGAAGAGCAGGGAGAAGTGCAGGACAGGGGGTGGCTTGGAGGAGACAGAGGGGCAGTTGGAGCCATACTGGGACAGACAGGGGTCTCYCTGCTGCGTCAGAGGACTGCTTTCACCGTGAACTAAACTCGCCCCACTCACAGTGCTGCGTCGACCCATCGCCTGGCGGGATTTGGACATGAAACCTAGCTTGGTAAGGGAAGGCAGGGAGGGTCTGCCGTGAGCTGCAGCTTTACTGGGCGAGCAAGGAAGAGCAGGGCTGCTGAGGCGACGCATTGGGAAAGAGGACCTGGGGGACTGCTTGAGCTCGGCCGGCCCTTCAGGGCTGGTGTCAAAGGGAAGAGCGGTGAGGTCATTGTCAGAGGGAAACGAGCCGCTTCTACAGGAGGGGAACTCTAACACGTCTCCGTCCARCTCCTCGTACTGCTGTTTGACAGGCTGAACACACGGAAAGTGAGTCAAGGTCAGAGTCACGCTCTCAGCTGATGGAGGAGACAAAAACACGGCCTCCTTGTCCTTCGGAGACATCCCCTTYTTCCTGCGACAGCAAATGATGCAGCCAAGAACCAGGCCATAGCAGAACACAGCCAGACCCACAGCCAGCAGAATCTGCAGGTGGACTAGAACACAGTTGAAACACAGGTTTAACATGGACACATGGACATCCTCCTCTGAGGTTTAAAGTACCTGAACATGACAAAAAAGTCTTTAACACGTCAGAAATTCAGTTAAACACAAGACGCATGTGGACAAAAATACACAATGCCTTATAATATTTCATCTATCCAACAMAAACATGATAAACCAGGGTTAGAATTGTTGTGAAGAAAGAAAAATGCAACAAATAATAACGTTAAATAATCTCAGAGTGACAGATCAGCTCAGCCTGTGAAGCAAAGAAAAGAGCTCAGAGTGACCCATCACCTCCATTATCTTATGGTGTCTGCTCCTTGATGAGATTAAAGAGGAAATGATCAATAACTGGACTAATGATATGGTTGCAGTCGTTGTTTGTATCCTGAAAATACACCTGTACCATTTTTATACATTATGTGTGTTTATCTTTAAAGAAACATGACATCTTCATTACCGTGTTTCACAAAATGATTATTAAAAAGAAAGAGCGGAGCTGTTAATGCTGGACTTGTACTTATTTAATTAAAAGGTGATTTAGCCAGAGGTTTACATACACTCATTATGGGCATGAATGTCAAATTATTTTGTGGCTTTTAATGATTCAGAAACGGCTCTTTTTMCCTGGAGAAATTACATTACTTTACTGGTTTTTAAGAACAAGAACTTATCCCACAAGTTTGATTTGATTATGTATTCTCTCTTATAGGTACAACTTATTACTTACTTATACAAAATGAAATATTTTCATACACTACCACTAATATTAGAATAAATCACTCTGAATAAATTGTACCTTGACAACAGGCTTTTTGTAATTATCAACAAGCTTCTGACATAATGCTGTCTGGATCTTTGAGCAGTAGTCCAGAAGCATAATGTCATCTAGTTTTATTCAATCAGAAACCAGTTATGATTTGTTGAAGAATTTGGAGATAAACTTCCTTCTTTATTGTCACTTCCACTTTCTGCARCACACCACATCATGATGCTACCACCATCATGCTGGACCAAATAACTCAATCTGCTGCAATCAATCATGGTCACTAATGTGAAGGTAACAGGCCTGTCTTTTCAAGTTAAAAACATTCTTGAATCTAAAGCAATTTTTTAATGATTTTGATAAATGTGTATTTTGAAGCTCCTGATTGTCTAATGAGTTTAAACCTGTCCACCCTGCTTTTTTATATAAAGTTAATTTTATGTTAAAGGTTTTAAGTAAGAAATCAATAACTCAATATTAATACAAAATATATGTTCATAATAAATAAATGTAAATTTCTGWCTGCAACTGTCATGAAACAAATCTAAAGAGTCTTTAAAAACAGGGTTGAAATACTTTAGCCAATGAGCACAGCATGAACAACTAATAATTATTCTGTGTGACAGAGATTTAGCTGAAAGCACTTGTGCATGTTTTAATTCACAACCAACCATAAAGATGAGAGCACTGCTGAAGCAGATGTGTGTGTGCATGTGTGTGTGTGTGAGCCCATGATTTTGCTACTTAGTGGGGATGAATTTTCATGAAATTGCACCCTCATGGGGGCAAAAGCCTGGTCCCCGCAACTTTAGAGGCTGATTTTAGGTGGGGGGATTAGGTTTAGGACCAAGATGTGAATAGAGTTTGTGCTAGATTTAGGGTCAAGTATGTGCTGGAGTGGTTAGTTTTATGGTAAATGGTCTGGGTTAGGCTATAGAAACGACCACTAAATGGATGGAAGTCAATGGAAAGTCCCCACAAGGATAGAGAAACATAGCTGCTGGTGTGTGTGTGTGTGTCCAGTCAGGCAGCTCCTCACACACAACCTCCATGAAGAAATGAAGAGAATCACTGCTGCTTCACTGATGAACAGTGATGTTAGAGGAAATAAATGYAGGTGAGAAATAATTTAAAATGTGTTATTTTAAAACCTTATTTTGAACTTGCTGAATCATGTTATGGGTTAATCTGGCAGTCATAAAACATTAATATGGGTAAGACAGTGAAAGGATGAATGCTGCCAGTTCCTTTTGGAATGTGGAAAAYAGTTTAAAAGTAGCAAAACCTTAAAACAAAATTATCATCAACATAATTATAACATCATCCCAGTGACTGGTTGGGTGAATTCAGAGCTGTCTTTTCTTTTACTTTGTTTTTACTCCCTCCAGGTTACAACTACAGACTTAATTACTCCAACAGAAGCAGAAAACAATGAGCTGAAATAAAAAAGAAAATCTTATGTTATGTTTATTACAACAGACTAAACAAGATGAGTCAAAGGTCCTACCTCCCAGAGTGTACTGAGACATCCTCTCAGTCAGATGTGAGTCAGTGCAGAGAGAAAAGCTTCATCATCATCTGTTCTCTGAACAGGAAACCTCCAGCTGCTAGTTGAGCTTTTATCTGTTTCTGCCTCAGAAGTCCCGCCTTCTAACAAAATGGTCCAATCGGCTTTTTCATTAGCCTACAATGATCTCTGTTAAATCCTGAAGGGATCCAAGATTTTGCAAGTGGCCCAGGTCAGATGCTGCCTCATCGTGTACCTTAAAGCTTACAAAAGTGCAACCTGTTTTAAAAAGACAGACAGAAAGAAAGAAAGAAAGAAAGAAAGAAAGAAAGAAAGAAAGA